AGTCGTGCCTGAGCCTCCTGAGCCAAAGACAGATGTTAATTTGAAAAAACAACAAACCGTAATGTTATGTACATAACAAAGTGCTTGGCAAGCTGAAGGAAAACAGTGATTTGTATTGTTATTATTATTTAATATATAAATAAAGGCCTCACTGGACTGAAATTGAATTTCAGCAGCCTTTCTGGAGGCAATTAAAACCATTAGCTTCATCAGCCAAGGCCAGCGTTTTAATGTCTCTGAAACACTCAGGCTGCCAAAGTTAATTATTCATCCTTTTCTTAATTGGATTCAGATTGCATTTTAAAGGTGCAGCTTCAAGAGGGTTGGCTGAACCTTAATTTTTCACCCCTACCTCTCCTCCCTTCCCTACCCCCAAGAAACATCTCATCAGAAATCATTTCAAGCCTTTGCAAAAGGATTACAGAGTGGATTTCAGACCAGGCTGATGGCTGATATCTCATGGCAGATCTCAGCCAGTTTAGTAAACAGTGCAAAAACCATACATTATTGGAAGTTACTTCATGATAGTAATGCTTCTTTGACACGGAAAGCTGACCAAGAGGAACAGGAAAGTATCATTTGCTCTTACGCTAAGAATTATGGCAAAGTACAGCATTCACGCCTTGCATTTCTACCAGTAAACAAATAAATTTGATTTTATAAAATATTTATGCTATATAAACGCGTCACATTCTGTGCTATTCCAATAATTAATAATCTAAAGTACGAATGGTGGGTATGATATAGTTCTTAGAATGCAGGCTTCACTTCTTAAGGCTGTTAAACTTCTTTTTGGTTCAAAAATTGCTGTTTTTTGGAAGAAGATGAATTGCTTTTTATAACAGAGGATTAGAAAATAAAATCATCTTTTTGTGGCTACACTGAGAAGTCGCAAGTCATAATTTGGTATACAGACAAAACTTTTCATCTGTAACAAACCTTGTTTTAGGTTCCTGAGCTCAGCCTTGTGTCTGATGTGTTGTCTCTAAAGGCAGACATGGGGGGGTATTATGCAGTAGGTAAAAAATAAAAGCATAGATCAATACTTCCCCCAAAATATCCTTTCTCTAGACAAAGCTAAAAGTGCACCTTCTGGTGCACCTTCTGCAAAGGAGAAATGGGGATCAACTGACTGATGGATGAAGAGTGAAAAACAGGAACAGGAGAACAGATTTCACAGGAAACAAAGGAACACTTGAAGGAGATGCTGAGCAGAGAGAGCCCCGTGCTGCCCTGACAGATGCTCTGATCTGATCTGTTGATAATTTGTTTCTCTATAGCACTTTCAGCTCTTTGACAGATTGTTGTGCTTTGTGGTGTATGTGGTTGCTTGTTAATATTACATAAAGAAATAGGTTTTCTGATCTATATACAGACAAAACAATTTTCAGTGTATAACCTACTGAACAAGTCTTTCAGCCTCAACTGACCTTTCCCAAACACTCTGGAGATGAAAAGTACCATCCCATTATAATAATATATTTTCATCTTCCTGTGCAGTTATTCTTAAACTGAGGAGTTAGGTGTCACTCGTTTTCTCGTTATTAACAACATCATAAAAGAAAAATATATATTTGGAGTCTGAACTGTAGACTTTCCAGGATTGTTTCTCAGGCCATCCGGTTGCCTGTGAGTTTCCAAAATAAAATTGTCAAGCAATGTACTGACTTCTTTTACAAGGTAGAAGTGGTGTAAGACAATAGCCTGTAATGTTTCAGATGTGTGTAACTGCTGAAACTGCCAGATCTCTGTTCACATTATTAGCAACACGTGCAAGGTGAAGGCTGCCACAGGCTAAGCTAAAAAGGGTGTGGGGGGATTGTATGGAGTATGAATTTCTGATGTAACAGTTTCTCAAAGCTGCATCTGAGAAACATCTGGTTTTTTTAATAGTGTTCGTGATTACTAACACTCATGACTGCATGAACTGCTTCCTAGTGCTTCAGCTTGCTGCAGACTTCAGAAGATGACCTTATGCACTCGAAGCAAATTCTTTGAGAAGCAAAGAATAATTTGATGTAGATTGGGACAAGTGTGAGAATCATGCTCATGGGACTACTTCACAGATTGCTCAATGTTTTATTTGCTACTTTTTAATGCTATTTTCTTTAGTTATAGCATTACAGCCTGATTAGCATTTTTGTGTTGACTATATGATCATGCCAAATTAGTGTTTTGTATTCCATGTCATGCATTAAGTCTGAAAAACTGCAGAAAGACAAGCTGAGGCAAGATGAAATTAGCTCACATCAGAGCATGGGGACTTATAGGAAATTGTTTCTCAACTGATGATACAAAATGCTTTGACAGTATAGGTATTTCTAAAAATCTGCATGCTTATTATCCCTTACAATGAACATAAACACACACTGTCTAGCTGTGCTGTAATAGCTGGGTTGTGAGTAGTTAGTAGAGACCTGATATTTTAAACAAAGACTCTCTTCTCTCCCACACCATATACCTATCTGCAGAAATGAGGCTGCACACCCTGGAAATCATTCCAGGCCTCTTCATGCTGTATCCTTTCTTCACAATTTATATCATCCACCAAAAGGTTTTGGCTGCAGTGGCTGCAGCCAATGTGAGCAGGGACTATTGCACAACTCCAGCCTGGCTCGTCGGTTTGAGAACAGCTATTACAGGGCTCTACCTTTTCCTTTACAAACAAAAAAATTATTCAGAACTACCTACAGGCTTTATGTCCCTCATACTATGCAAGATGAGAAATTGACCTTCGATGATGTTACTTTTGCAATAGTTGTTACCAGACAGATGTAGGTGTTGATTTTAGAGTGTCATTCTTAAAGCATTGTCAGATTTTGTTTACCAGAGGCAAGAGCAATTTCCAGTTCATAGAGGCAGGGACCTATGTAAGTTGTTTTAGATTCTAATGACTTATTTACAATTTATGGAGGAGTTATTATTTTTTTTTATTTGTGGTTTCCAACTCATACAGACTCCATTTGGGAGTGTTTGATGCACACCTTGTCTTGCCCTGCACTGTTTTCTGGAGGAAGACAGTGCTAACACCCAGAGAACGTATTTTCTGGCTGCACTTGTTGGGAAAGAAAGGAGTGAAAGAAAGCCTTAAAATGCTGAGAAATTCTGATTCCTGAGTGACTTGAAGCCAGGAAAGCTTCCTCTGCTCCCCTCCTCTCTTTGGAGAACTGCAAAGCACCCATAGCAAGAGAAATGGATGTGTGTATCAGAGCAATCAGGGAATAAGGCCCATTCATTTTGGACATGAATATCCCTGATGAGGAAATCATTTTAAAGCTACCCAATTTACTGTGCAAGATATTCCTATTTCAGGAACATTCTGTGAAGAATGGCTGTATGTGGGTTCCGTTTCACAGAAATTATGTGGACCTTTTAAGATAGTCCAGCACACAGAGCTCTTCTGTCTTTGTAATTGATGCTGTCCAAGTCAGGGACAAGAAATGTGTCTTTGGCTGACAGAGAAAAAAACTACTAAAGAGCATATTTCCTAGGAGCAGTAACACCATAGCAACAGTTGTCTTTCAGTGCTGCTGCTGTATCACTTAATAGTCCTCAGATTGCCCAGAGCCACAATCTGTTCTGCCATGAAACTGCACGTGAGCTGATGCTGTTGGTGGATCATTACAGGAAAAACGTACCTATACAGCACATCATTTTTGCTTTTATCTAAAATGATTTTTTGTCCTCGTAGCCACATAACATTTATTTTTCTCCTTTAAAATGAATTTCAGGGGAAAATTTATTGGTAGAACTGATGAGGTCAATAATCTTTGATGAAATACTTTACGTGGGGAAACATAATGTGTGTGTGTGGAAATAGTGGAAAATTCCAAACTATGAGTTGGATCAGTTTTATTCATCAGATTTTGTGTTTAAAAAAATTGGAAAAAATATCATTCCTTTCAGTATTTTTCAGAATGAATAAATATTTTGAATGAGTTTTCAGCTAGGAGTTTCACTTACAGTGAAATAAGAACACAGTATTTCAAACATCAAAATGAAAACTTTTTGATTGACTACTTTTTTTTTTTTTTCCCAAATGTTCAGTTTATGAAAATGTCAACTCTATCCAAATTCAAGCCAACAGAAATGTTTGAAAATTCTTCTGAGATGAGAACGAATTTTCCTGCTTTGTTCTGTTCTACTTATTATATATTAACACCGCCTGGCTCCCTTTGCTAGGTGTGGCTTTTTTTGTCATTCTTCTATGAGGGCTTGAATGGAAAATTAAGGCATACTTGCTGATTAATTTAGGATGGAGGGTGAAAACAAAATGTCGCTCCTCCTTTGAATCTATCCAGGTTTCAACAAGAACTGTAGTGCTGTGTACTGCGGAGTCACAGATTAAATGTCTGAAAATTGAATTACTTCTACAGAAGGTGTCTGTAGGTAAAAACAGAGGCTGAAGCTAAAGGTTTACATGCTGGCTGCTCTTACTGGGTCTTTTCTCTGGTTTTCCATTCTGTGGATGTTAGTCCAGCTCCTTCAACAGGCACTGAAAACATGATACATTAAACAAAACAAGTGGGCTATAAATGGCCCATGATTTATGGGTTATCTTGGTTTGTCAGTTCTCACCACTGTGAAGCACTTCTGGTATTTGCACAATGATGTAAATTATTGCAGCATGAGAGCATTAGCAGAGTGCCCTGCAAGCTGTGAAATATCCCATTGCTAAACATTGTTTGTGCAGCCCAATAAGCTGCTCCAATCTCAGGCTTGATTCTATCACTGCAGTGAAGAAGCAAACTTATTTTGAGGAAATACTGATTTATGAAATACGATGAGGAACCAAAATGCCATGGGCATGTGGATTCCCTGGCTGTGTGACTACAATTCAGAGACAGCTCTTCATTTTGCACGTTAGAAAGAGCAGTGAATGATCATGAACATCAGCTTGTATATGGATGAGGAAATGCTACGTGCAGGGGGGCTGACCAGTGATTTGGTGGTATAATAAATCAACTAATAGGTTTTCTTTTTATTTTGTTTGTGTACAGCTAACAAGAGAACACCAGGTGGCCCTCTCCTCCATCACTTACATTGGCTGTGCTCTGTCCATCTTCTGCTTGACGATCACGCTGGTCACATTTGCTGTATTGTCGTGAGTGATTTTAACTGAATATGTGCTGAGCTGCTGTGGTACAGAAAGCCAAACAGTGCCTTTCAGGTCACTAGTTTGGATCCCCTCAGGTACCCAGAATAAAACAAAGGCTACTAGTTTTTCAACCGCCCTTAATTAGATTCTGCACATGTATTTATACTGGCTGGTTATTTCTAAATTAATTTCCTAAAATGTGGTGGTCCCTATCTAGCAAGCTATTTTCATGTTATGAGAGATTTTTAGATTTTTTTAAAGCCCTCCATGTTTTGCCACAGTTCAGGAATCTTGCAAGGAGGCTGCAGGAATGCTTGTCAGGAGCACAAGGCAAGCACAGGATCAGCAAGGACCACAGGATCTCCCCAGCAGAACTATCTTTGGATTGCTTGGGGAGAAAGAAGCAGTACTTTCTGCTTTCCATCTTGCCTGTAAAGCAGTGTATTTATAAACTGCCTAGGTATGTCTGGAAAGGAAGGCTCAGTCAACATCAGCTGCCTCGTTTCTATTTCCTAAATACTGTGTACAATTACACTAAATGACCTACATTTAATTTTGAGTATCTTTCTGTTCTCTGTTAGGCTGGTTTTCTAACGTGTTGCTAAAGAGAATGAAGTGTGAAATTCACTCTGTGGCTCATGTTTAAATCCCTGAATTTCTGCACCCTCACACCTGTAACACAGCAGCCCCTTTGAGAGCTTTCTGCACACTGAAGGTTTTTGCCATGGGTGCTTTAGGGCCTTTTTGCCTATTTATGTTCTAGTAGTGACAACGGAGTTTGAGGCCCAGCTAGGCTCGATACAAACATTTCTGGAAAACAGCTTTCATAGAATTTTCTATCTAAACAAATAGAAAACCTAACAAGGGGTGAAGTAACTCATCCAAGGTTGTGCAGCAGATTGGGATCATATCAAGGAATGTGATTCTCGTCTCCTTGCTTGTTAAGCATCAAACCATGCTGAGAGGCCAGTTTCTAGGAAAAAGGGCTTGCTAAACACAGTAAACTGATTGCAGTGTTTGTTTGTTCCAATAGCCATATTACTTCCAAGTCTCAAGATATGTGTTGGTCATACTTGGAGTAAGTGTGTAATGTGTGGCAAAATCCACCCTAAACAAGTCCAGTGTCTGCCTAATTGGCACTGTGCTGTTAGCATATTTAGGCAAAGAGGAACGATCTGCTCCATTTTTTTGTCTGAGTGTAGAACTGGATATTTGTGATTAGAGAGGAAAATGAGCAAAAAGAGCTGGTACTGCTGCAGCTGGGCTGAAAACTCCTTGAGCATACTTGGAAAGAGAGCTTGGATCCAGCTGACTATCACAGTGTTAAGCACCCCACCTACATACAGAATCATTCAAACTCCCAATTAAAAATAATTTGATTAGGTTTTCACTGGAGAGCAGGGCCTCATTAGACAGCTGAAGTGAAATTTTGCAATGTAGTGTTAGATGATCATGAGGTAAGTGGAGAGGAATCTGGCAAGTTCTTTGCTACTCTGTGTACTGGCAAGGAAGGCTGCTTCCCAGGAGGGCAGTCCTGACTGCCTTCTGGGGAATGATGTTCCACTGTGTGACTGCATGAAGTTCCTTGTTAGAAAGCCACTGGTACCAAGCAGCACAACCTGTCTTTCAGAATTACTTTTAGGGCATCAATATTTCTTTTTGCCTCCCGCTTCACTCCTTTCAGCGGTGGCTGAAACTGTGCTGGAAGTACAGTGCTAATAAGAAGACATCAGCTGCACTGCTGAGCCTATGCCACCCTGCTGAAGGGGGCATGCACAATGTGCACCAGCTGTTACAAAAGTCATCACAATGCAGCATAATAAAAGATGGAAGTGCATACTGTTGTGCAAAAGAAGTTGTGCCATTCACGCAGCCAAATGGTCTAGGTCTCTTGATAGTGAAGGGGCTGGCAGGCCGTATGTTGAACAAGAAAGCCTCTCTCTACTACTGTTCTTTTCTTTATGCAAAAGGCCTGAAATGTTTGGATAAATGTTTTTGTTTGTTTTCTGCTTCCTGTTTTTGGATGATTACAGAAGCAAAAGGTCAGAATACTCCCAAGAAAGCATGTTCTTGTCAAATTTCCAGCCAGTTTTTGCAAAGACGAGAGAAGTTCGAATAATGTTGTAATCATGTTCAGTGCACTGTCAAGATAGGCACCATCCATATGTGTATGAAGCCATAGTTCCTGTGCTAAAAAGCTGATAGTGGTAAAACCCAGAAGTGTACCTGGAGGTTTTTGAATTACTTGTTTCTAATACAGGCAGATATAAACAAAATACAAATAAAAACTTAGTGCCAGAATGTGGGCTATGTGTTATAGACTGCTGAATGCTTTCTGTGAGGCACAGATCTGATTTCCTTGACAGCTCAGCACCATTTAGAATCAAGCTCTTTGTTAATAGTCAGTCATAACTCATTAGCAGAGCTGGTTAATGTGCAAATCAGAATTATACCGCTATTGGGATGGTGACAGAATATACAGGAACCCAGACCTGGTGGAAGAAGAGCTTAACAGACACTCCACCAGAACAATTAACCAAAAGCCAATCAGAAGTATTTCTGATGAGTAATAAATATGTTCATGCATCTCAGAAAACTGTTTTGTTCACATACCTTTCTGTCTTCTTCCAGGTCTGTGAGCACCATCCGCAACCAGCGCTATCATATCCATGCCAACCTGTCCTTTGCTGTCCTGGTAGCTCAGATCCTGCTTGTCACCAGTTTTCAGTTCAGCCCTGGAACGGTAAGTGAGACAGAGCAATGACATTTTTGCAAGGCTTCTGCATGGTATGAATGTCTATTGGATGTGAGACCCTACATTTTTAACACGCCAAGCAAAAAATGCCATCCCACAAAACTGGATAAAGCCTTCTGTGAATTCAAATAGCATTATCATAGTATCCGTCCATGTTTGACTGTTTGCAGAACAGAGGGGAACACGAGCCCAACAAATGGTAAAGTCACTATAGTAATGAGGAAGTTCCAGCTGTTTGTTCAAATGGATCAACTGACTTTTGCCTGACCAGGTTTATGTGTATCTCATCCATTTCCTCCACTGAAAACTGTATGAATTCTGTATTGGAAATTTTTGTATGAATTTTGCTTTTAGGTAGGGTAGTATTTCTATTTCTAAACATAAGATCTGTTAATGTAATGTGCCACCTGAAAAAGGCAGAAACAAAACCTGATTTTAAAACAAACTTCAGGTGTGCTCTTTTTTTGTTTTTGTAATTGGCAAAACTTGTAATGGGTTGCTATTGTGGTCAGCCATTGCTTCAACAGTTTATATTAATCTTTTTTTTTTTTTTTTCCTAGTGCAAGTAAATATGAGGTCTGCATTTATATTTATCTCAAACTGAATTCCTTGAGCTTCTCTTAAGATTATAAATAACCATAATATCTGATGTTACATAGGCTATAACTATCTGAGGATCTAAAAACAATTTGTGAATTTAAGTTCATACTCTTTTGTTGGTAGGTCCTGAGTAAGATAATGTGCAAGGGAGAAAATAGTAAGGAATGATTTAGATGGAAAATAGAGACAGTGGAGAGCAGCAAAGGATCTATCTGTCTGTCTACCTGTCTATCTACCCATCCACTGATCCATCTGTCCATCTGTGCATGTATCTCAGACAGTGATCTCTTCCATAGTTGATTATATTTGAGGTTGAAATGTCCACAATGTTTACAAGTGGAGATTACAAGTGAAGTTTTCTTTTTGAAAACCATAGCTCACAGAAAGCAAGCCCTTTTTTCATGCACTAGGCTTTCAAACGTTTCACAGAATCCCTGGATATTTCAGCAATAACTGTAACAACAATAATTGTAGGACACAATTCTATAAAGACCTTGAAGCCGAAAAGCACCAAGCACGTATCTGCTGCACTTTTATTTTTATTGTTATAACCTCTAGGGATCAGAGGTGTTGTGATTCATCCTGTTATTACTCTTGCATCTTTACCTTCTGCATGCTCAATTCTCACCAGCTTGGGCATCAATTTTAATACCTTTAATTGCTGCTGTAATCGGACTGCTAAATGGTAGTTTACAGAAAGAGAGAGGCAATATGTACACTGGGAGATGAACTTAATCTTCTGCATCTGTCAAAGATGGGTATATTTAGTGCTAAACAGTTTATAAGTGCCCTGCTTTGGAGGACAAATGGTACCAGTTTGCTTGAGGAAATACAGTGCAATAAAGAATGGCATTGTATAAACAGGCCATGAGCTGGCATCACTTTCTTGTATGACTTCATCATCTTTTTTCCGTCTCCACCTCTATTGATATTTAGGTTTTGATTCCAGATATAGCATACAGTATTTCCCTAGTAGTTTCAGATGTGCTATTTAACTGTTTGCAATTTATACTACAGCGATTTTCCTTTTATAGTGTAGGAGTAATTTTTAACTTACTAATCACAAAACTCTACTTCCATGAATAGAACCTTGATCTATCTAATACATTCACGAAGATCTTTTTATTATTCTGTCATTTAAGGATGTTATCAAAGTAGTAAGTAAGGCACAAGTGCAGAATGAGTATTATCCAGCACTGCATGCAGACCAGACTCCTGCTACGGCACTTTGTTTATTTTTTTTTTTTGCTGTTTTGTGATGCATATTGCTTGGCTACTTGAAAAATTGAAAGCATCCATTTGAGAAGAGGAGCTCGTAAGTCAGCTTTATGTTGCAGTTATACTGTTGTGGACTAATCTTCTGCTGGAAATCAAAAGGAATTTAAATGGATTTCATAGCCTTATGATAAAATTAACTGGAAAGATTTTTACAGTTCTGGACAATAAGCAAATCTGGTTTAACTGAATGTCAAAGAACATTTTGAAATACTAAATGCTTACAGACCTCACTTACACAAATTAAAACCAAAGTTATTGTTTTTTAATACATCTAATCACAGTGGATTTGCATTGGAATGTCCCTATACAAGCACAGAACCAGCTGAGTGCAAGTGAGAACATACTGAAAGCCTTTACTTTGCATTATGCTATCTAGTTCTAACATTTTAATTTTCATTAGTACAAAAAGTCCTAAACTATCAATAAAAAGAATAAAATGCCACCATAGAGAAGCTAAAGTGACACAACAAAGGGAACAACTGATTAGGATGTTTAAAAACACTGTGCAAACAAACTGATTTCTACTGCTAATGAATCCTCGGCACACGGACTCCAGCAGCCTGGGTACCTCACTGGGACTTGTCCAGGTGAGGCAGTGAAACCGTGAAAACAACAACAATCTTCCCATGGACATTATGCAAACAACCCCTCCAAAATTCTGGAGGTGTGATAGAAGGGATGCTACAGGATGCAAAACTCAGATCTGGCTGCTACTTATTCCAAGAGCACGTTTAAAATGTACCTGGAGTGAAAGAAAGCCAAATGAGATGGCTGTGTGGTTAGCCCATTGCAGTCAGATCTGTTCTGTTACTGCATGACGAGGGAAACAGCTCACAGTGAGACATCCTCCAAAAGCAGGTTGTGGGAAAAGGAGAACTGTGCTGTGTGAATATGTGAGGAGTAGGGAAGAAGAAAGGATTATATTTTACTGTTGACATAAGGTAGGCTGATAGGAGACTTAGAGAAAAATGTAAGGTCTCTTTGAAGATTAATTGGTGGAGCTCTTATGAAAGCCCTTAAGGAAAAGCTGGTCCTTAAGCTCAAGCTACACTTCCTCTAGTCCACAGTGGGCCATAAGCACTGAGGTGAGTGTAAGCAGAACTCTAGAGGATGCTTTTACTTCTCGATGCATTGCCTTCAGCATGGAATTCCTCTCTTGAGGCATTTATTTCACTTCAATACATGCAGTAGTTTACACTGGAGCAGATAGTCCAGTCTACACCAGGTAGACTTGCTTTATGCATGGTATTTTTCCATTGTGTAAACTTTTGTACTAGCTCCTGCTTCCAGAAACTTGATAGCACATAGTCCTCCAAAAGATTGTGTCTGTAAGGTCTCTATGGAGAAAAATGTCAGTTCTTTGCTGTAATTGCTTGGTGTGTTCTTGCCAAACATGGCTTTATATGGAGCAGATACATGTTTTGGGATCTGGGAAACTGAGAATTCAAACATGCAGGCAAACTAGGCAAACCACAGAGCAATTAGGACTTGGGAGCCAATTAAAGCTCACTGTAATTTTTTGAAATCTCTATTAGCTTTACTAATGGAAGAAAAGAAGAAACTTTTCAAAATTTAAACCCAGACAGACAGAAATGGGGATACAGCGTGATTTAATTTGTGTGTTATCATATCTTCATTATGAAGAACGTTACAGAACAGGGAGCATTGTACAGCACAGCACTCCCACTTCCATGATTCTTTTATGTTCACGACAGACTTGGCAACAAGATACTGAAATTGCAGGTTTGAACTCTTAAATATCTTGTAGCCTTGAGTAAAAGTATTGCTTATGCACATACAAATAATCAATTTTGCTTTCCACAGCATGTCTGGCAATGAATGTTTTTAATTTTTATTTTTATTTTGTGAGATAAGGGAAGAAAATTTGTTACTCTGAAGCTATCTCAAAATGCCTTAGAGAAATGAAGCGCTTTGCTCTTTAAAAAAGTTTTTAACCAGTGACTTAGCCTAGAGTGTAAATGTAAAAAGAAATAATGATAAAAAAATTGCAAAAGCAATATGACTGCATCACAAAGAAGTAACCTGTTATTTTTTGTTGTTAATCTAGGTGCCTTGCAAAATCTTGGCCATTCTCCTTCATTTTTTCTTCCTAAGTGCTTTTGCATGGATGCTGGTGGAAGGATTTCACCTCTACAGTATGGTGATCAAAGTATTTGGGTCAGAAGAGAGCAAGCACTTATATTATTATGGAATTGGATGGGGTAAGCATTTATTTGCTGCTTGCTTTCAGTCTCTTCACTGTGGAACAAGACTATATTCAGAAGCATATGTAAAAAAGTGATGTTATAAAAAAGTGATCCAACAGTTCATTTTTTGATTCTTTACTTTCATTTGAAACGTTTACTGCATTTGACTTTTGCAAACTCATAGGACCTGGAATAATGTGAAGCCCCACTCCTCAAATTACAAACTCAGACACGTTATTTTTGTTTAAGCAGAAGCTCTGGTCTATGTATATATATGAAAGTTTGCAGAGACTATTAATGACAAGTTGGAACTTGAGGCATGAGTTGACAGGAGATGGGAACAAGGAACTCCACACTACCATTGATCTGCTAATATCTATTGAGGCTCCTGAGAGATATCACTCCTGTAAAATGAATTTAACAGTAATCAGAGAGACAGGATACCAAATATGCAGAGTTGATTGAAGTTCCTGTATATTATCTTTAGTCCCAAGGGTGCTAAAATTACCTTAAAGCCTGAAGTTGTAATTCAAAAGAGCAATTTGAGGAAGGTGGTAATATTCTACTTTTAAAACTATCCTGAGACAGACTGGGAAAAAAAATGCTTTATTGCCTTGGTGACTGGGTATAACATACACAGGTCATTGTAACAAAATTTTTCCCAACCAGCCATCTGTAGGATGCTGATGGTAATGGCTGTGATACTGGAGGTTTTGCTGCAGCACTTTGACCTTAACCTGTTTTCCAATCTCTGACAATTTCCTTTCTTTTGAAGACCACCTTAGAATAGAGATTTTGTTCTAAGCTGTCAAAAGATCTAAGCTTCCTTACTTGCTGTCCCAGATTTATCCACAGATAGATATAGTATAATGCAGTAAAAAGAAATCATAGAAAATTAACTTCTTCAAAACAGATGGGAGAATATACTTTTCCCCACTGAGTAAATTAGATCTTTTAAGTATTAGAAAGGAATGTACTTCATTTGTGTCCATTTAATTTATTATTAGTCCTGCAGAAACATAAAGCAAATGGATTAGATGTGAAGTTTGACGCTGAAGAAGAGGAGGGAAACTGGTAATCTATCTCATGTTCAGTTTAGGCTCTGTGCTTGAGACTGTATTGGGCTGAATTTAGTGAGAATCTGAGCATAGATGGTGCTTTTGGGCTTCCTGTGCCCAGCTGCTCAGAGTTTATGTCCACAGTGCAGGCTGTATTTTGATTCTGAGTTTGGGAGGCAGCTTTAAATTAGCAGGCCTGGGGACCTGGACAACTCAAGCTACAGCAGCACAGGGAGGTGTGTGGAATTATTTGTCCCATTTAAAGGTGACACTGTATTGTGCTGGGACTAAAGGGATGCAGGTGACACTGCTGCCATAGATCATCTGCCACAAACATGTACTAGAACATTTTCATCTGATCCTGTGCTCTGGAATGCACGGTCTATTGCATCATAAATATAGCAATTCTGGGCAGAATTGGTGAGCATATTTGTAGCATCTGCTAACTGAGAAAAGTTTCAGATACAGTCAAGGACCATAACTGTAATTCTCTCATGGATGGTAACCAGTGCCAGCACACCATCAACATTTCCTATTATGGGGGTAGGCTACACGGCTCTTACACAATTATTTCTGACAAAAGATTAAGCAAACACATTTACTTTTGTGTATAATATATAATCCATATGAATTCTTCTGTCCAGAATAAATCCTACTATCCTCCTAGGCTAAATATACTTTTATTTCAACTTCTATGGAATTATTGAAAGATTGTTTCTTAATGCAAAAAGGGTCTCATTTCACTGTAACAAAACCTTGATGCTGCATACGTTGGCATCTACTATTTAATACCCTGTCAATGCAAAGAAAAAGCAACCACTGCACTTTAGGCTGCAGAACATTTTACTACCCCTGTCTTAACAGGTCTTTTTATGCAGATGACTGTTCTGTGTTTCATCTGCGTAAGTTTTATTATCTTCTAAAAGAACTTTGTATTTAATTTTCCTCTTCGCTGCCATTTAAAATTGATGTCACAGTAAATCCTTTGAATATCTGGCTTTTGGAAAAAAAACTGCAAAGAGAAAGTGTAGAGGAGAGTTAGACACACTTTTTTTGCTTCTGTGACATGTAGGCAGAGCCTGCTTGTTGAAGGAAGACAGCATCAGAAGATAAACAGTGCCAACCAACACTGTCTGTGGTCAGGGATATGAAGGCATAGCTCAGGGACTTTTAGTCCAGGCAGTCCAATAGCCATGGCTTGCATCAGTGTTGCTATGTTGAATATGATTACTCTTGGTTTTGTTCAAATACATATGGGATTCTCTTTTCTTAAGCAGACAGATGTAAACTAAAATTTTGCCTTCCCTTAGTTTTTACACAGATATGCTTTTGAGGAGTAAATCTGTATTTGGACAAGCATGGGAGAACAGGTGCAAGTTCCAAGGTTGTTGAAATCCTCCCAATGAATTTCAAAGTGGAAGACCAAACAATGCCTGTGGATGCTGCGTCTTCCCCATTTCTAACTAGGAATTTCTGATTCTAGACACAGTGGTTAAAGAACAAAAATACTATTTCAAAGAATAGATATTCTACAACTACAAGAAAGTTTTGCACAATTTTGTGAAGATGATTAACAAGATTATGAGAACACTCAATAAGTTTAAGCAGAAATTGCTTGTCAGAAAATTTTGTAAAAACCTCATGCAGAAACCCTGAAGAATTTAAAAGAAAATTGAAACCTCAAGCTGTCACGTATAATACTCTGCCTGGGACATGGTTATTAAATTCCACAAGATGACAGAAATCTAAACCTTCACATTTTATTAAATCATATAGGGATTAACAGACAATCATTTAATATTTAAAGGGATGAGGTTTCCTTATATTCAGAACTGCTGGCAAAAAGGCCCTCATTCCCTTTCCAGCTCCCTGTCTGGAAAGCTGTGTTAAGTGGCACAACAGGACAGTGCTGAGGCCAGCAGCACACAGCCACCCCTGGCAGCAGGGCCATATTCATCTGCCTCTGGATAATCCCTGCGTAATCCCATCAAGCACTCTTCCACCATGCAGGATGCTGCATGCTGGAGCTGTCAAAACCTATCTGGAAGCATCATCTTCTCTAAGCTCAGAAATCTTGCAGGGCTATTACATATTTATATTAAAATAAATCTTGGTCTGGCACCTGAGTGGGATCCTAATTTGTTTTGCTCTATTCATAATTGTTTCTCAGTGTTGAGCCAGTGTTGTAGGCCACTAAGGGTCACTGTTTCTGTCTTCTCACCTGCTAGTCCAGTATGCCTGTAAGAAACTCATTTATTTCTCAATTCTTGAGCAAGATGAGCTTTCTTGGGGGGAAGGTGGTAAAAAGAAACTTGGTATTGCTCCACAGAATATCACTGTTCAAATAGTGAGAGACAGAAATCATACTAAAAAAAACAACCACGCTGAAAAAGTTCTACAGTTCTCAATGAAATTAGCACTAATTCAGTTTGTTAAATTAGTGCTTTACTGAAAAGTCATTTTGTTTGTCCAACATTAATTGATTAAAATATATTGCATTCAACAGCTGCAGGAGGAGTTAGACTTAATTCTAAAATTGCTCTGAGTTGCTCTGTTGTCCAGTAGCTGAATTTGTAGGGTTTACTGGACCTATCATGACCTCTGCCTTTTCACAGGCTGCCCGTTGGTGATTTGTGTAATTTCTGCCACGTCGTCCTTAGACAGCTATGGAGAAAGTGACAAGTGAGTATGAAAATATCTCCATGTCAGGTACAATGCGGATAAAAAACCCGCGGGAGAGAAAAACTTGCAGGTCTGTGAGCAGGGCTGCAGCTCTGCACCAGTCTGGATGTGCAGGAGGATGGGTGCAGGTCACTGCCTCTGACCTGAACCCAGTGGGAGCCCTCTGCTCATTCATGTACGGAATAAAGCCGGGGCTGAAGCATTTCTGACAAGACGAGAATAAACTTCAGTTAAAGATATTCAACTTTTTGAAGAAAACTGCAGCTGAGCATCCACAGATTGAGAATTGATCTTTAAAAAAACAAAATCTAAGTTCTTCCAATCTAAGTTGGAAAAAGGAAAGCAAAATTATCTGCGAAAATACCACAGGATTCAATCCTGCCATTAAGTAAGTGAAAGTTTTGGAGCAGGGGTAGTTTGTTGTGTGTGATTAACTAGCTTCCATCGCCTGTGCTGTAAGAAAAATGTATGACTGTGTTTTCCCACCTCCTGCCCATCCCCAGCTGGGCAAGGCAGGAAAGGCTTAGGTTTGTCTCTTGCTACAAAGGCAGTGCTTTCAGCACCGGGAGGAGTGGATGCAGGAACAGCAAATAATAGATAAAACCTTTCCCTTCTTCCTGTCTTTCTGTCCCTAATGCTATTTGAAGGCCTGCTGAGGCAGGTAGCTGACTATGGAAGATGCAAATCTAAATGAGATTTTGACTCAGAATTTGAGGGGAAGAGGAGCTTCCTATTGATACTCTCACTTTTAAAATTCATCAGTGTTTTTAAACTTACTTTTAGTCTCTTTTTAAATCAAGAACATTACTTATTAAATGTTTCTGTGTTTCATCTAAAATCATTCTATTTTTCTCTGCAGCTGCTGGCTTTCCCTAGAGAATGGAGCAATCTGGGCTTTTGTGGCACCGGCACTGTTTGTAATTCTGGTAGGTAAACACCTGGCTGCTGGTTTCATACTGGATGTCTGTCAGCCACAGAACAGAGCACAGCTGGAGGTGTTTGAAGCTGTTGCTTGTAGAGAACTCACTTTTCTGGGTGAAAGTTGAATGCCCGCAGTGAAGATGATGTTCAGGAGGGCTTGCAAGCAGTCAGCAGCTGGCAGAAATGCAATAAACCAACAGCCTGAGCTGTCACCTCTCTGGGGAAGGTAACAAGTGGCCTCCACATCTGCCTTCTTACAGTGATAATGTCTTTGTGCTCTTCTGCACTGGCATTTTGATGTTGGTTGTGGCAGTTTGTTGGGCCGACTGAGACAGGGCTCAGACAGGTTGGCTACCAGGACACCTTTCAGCTGCAACGAGCACCATCTTTCCAGAGGAGCATGCACATCCATGGCTGCAGTACTGGGACATGGATGCCCTACAGCAGTTTAATTATACCTACACATTAAATTACAGTGCGCTGTGGCTCAATCATGATGATTGCTTAAGGAGTCAGGGGTCTGTAGGGCTTAAGTGGGAGATTTCTCCTCCTACAGCACTGTTTCCTTTGAAGTATTGATCACATTGTCTACGATTTTTGCTGCAAGTTATAATGTAAGGGTGAGAACATGAAAGGAATAGATCCACTCTTCTGAGAAATCAGGATGACTTTAAAGCTTTGCTAGATTTGAAAGGTATGACCCCAAATCTAGTCCAGAGTCTACACATGCTGTGGCACTGAAAGAGGGTCAGGTAAAATAAGATCCTGACTACTTGTGTGGATGAGCATCAATTAGAGCCAGTGCCTCTGACCTGTACTTCCCCTAAAAAGACAGATTTTCTGCAGAAAGCACAGACACATCCCCAGATTTCTCTGCACAGAGAAACCTCTCAGGTCCTGCTGACAGAAATCCAGCCAAAGTAAGGCTGGAGATCTGTACATACAGTAGTGCAGTGAGTGCTAGTGTTTGCCACAGCACATCTCTATAACTGGGGAGCAGGAGGTGGCCCTTTGGTTGACCAGTACCATCACAGGTAATTTTATACTGCACCTGTGTTGGCATTCTAACATTTGCCATGGAGACAACAACACCAGCAGCTCTCAGCCCAGTGTCTTCCACTCGAGATAGAGGCTCTGAAAAACGAGGCTGTATAAACATATATAAAAAAACACTGGAAACAGTTGCTATGTCAATGTGGCAGAAATTGCCTCATGTTAGTGTTTTAATGAAATGATTAATGGCAACGGTGTAAAATCCCTGTGCAGAATTTCTTTTACCTGAAGGAAAGCATAATCATGTAAATAAGAAATGTTGATCACAGGATTAGAATTGGCTAAACAGCTCTGAACTGTGTTCTGACAAGCTTATTGTCTTGTTCACCAGTACCTTTGGCCTTCTGTATGTGAGTTTATGTTCAAAGATGTGTGGATATTGATGACTGGAGAGCAATTAAAATAATGTACATCTCCTCTCACATTAGCTTTTGCTTTCTGGACGTTGTTCAGCAGCAAAGGAGGAAATGACATGCAAGTTGTAAAATCAAATCCCAGCCCCTGTCCAAAGATGATATTAATCAAAACATGCTAGATAGTGAAGCACTTACTCACCTGAGTGAGCACAGCCTTCAATAATTTGCATTCAAAGCTGCTTGCCAATGAACGTGAAGGCTTAACTATCTGGCTATCACTTATGATATATAATATTTGTGCAGCCCAAGTTATATTCTTGTAGGAATGCAAATGTTTTGCAAAAGAGAAAGAATGAGTTCACAAGCTTGATTCACGTAGAGCAATTTGTTAAATAGTCTAAACCCAGTCTCTCTGTGCAAAATAGCAGCAAGCTGGCTGACAAATTATTCTCTCTGGGCATTGAATATGCTGGATGAAAAATACGTTAGTGCCTATAGGGAAATAACAAGGCTAAACACTATTTTGTGTGTGCATGTGTGCCTCTGCTCTTTAAAGAGAAAATTAGCCACTAGTTGTGTGAATTAGTGTTTAGCTCTGAAAATATGCCTCAAAAAGCTGTTTTTGACTACTTTCATCCCCAATTTATCTCTGCCAAGAAAAAGGATTATGCTGTGAAGAAAACAGGGGGCCTGCTCCTTTCAGCTCCCATTTGCTGGAGAATAGGCAGACCCAGTCTGCTTTTGTCCTGCTGCAGCCTCGCAGTCAATACAGACAGCATGGAGCCTTAAAACAGAATGATGTGGTAGGAGTGTGACTGGGAAAAATATACTCACACATACTTTTCTGGGGAGTAATTTGCAGATCCTCCCAGCTCTAAATGGATTCCCATACCCAAAGTTGAGTAATATGCAGAAAGAAATAGTGCCTTCCATGTGTAGGTCTTTGGAATTCTACCTGCACCTTAAGGTTTAAGGATCCAATTCAGATTCCCCTGCCCCCAACCACAACACCAAACCTCAATACCATCCTTGTAAGGCAACTTCCATGAGAACTGTTGCAATTAATTTGAAAGCCAGCCTAACCTCAGCCAACGTTGAATGCCTGGGAAAATATGCCTTCAAAGCCAAAAAACACCAACAACAAAACAAACAAACAAAACTTGACGAAGCACCTGAATTTTGGGAACAAGACAGGAAGAGCTTCTGGCAGAAGGCTTTGTTTGTTATCAACCATCTGCTACCTTGGTGTGTTTCCATAGATATGTCAGAATTAAGGAAATTCTACTGAAAGCATCTGTGTATGCAGAGCAGTGGGTGTGCTACAGTGAACCATCCATTGCTGGGGGAAGATTGGGTTGTGGTTGCAAGTTCCTTCTATTGTTTTCTCTGGAAGCAGTTACTTGCCTGATGATTTTTCACAAGTCTTTCTAATAAACAGCATTTTTATGGACTTAAATGATTTTCAGTAGCATAGTGCTAACATAATTCTGTGCCGTAGGGATGTTAGTTTTGTAACCAGTGTCTTCAGACAGGACACCATGAAACTTGAATCTCAGGCTGAGACTGCCACTGCTGTCTTCAACTAGTACTTGTTTATGAGTGTTAAGCATATTGAAGATTTCCTCCTTTTACACCTGCTGCTCAAACATGCTTTAGTAAGCTCTGTTAGCCTCATGGTCTTCCTTTGTTCATTCCTTTACGTACCAGTGCAGAATTGAGCTCATTTTTGTATGTTGAATTGTATCTCACTCTGTAGATGGGCCCACTGATTTAAGAGTGGCAATTTGTGCCCTTCATTAGACACCATTTGTCATGGGAAAAAGTGGCAGAACTGGAGTGATGATGTTTAAAGGTGCTGAAACAGTAGGATTTCTTCAGTTATTGAAATCAAGTACATACTTAAGTGCTGTGGTGAAACAGAGCACAAACAAACAGTTCACAGCAGCAAAGCTACTCTTTTTCTTGTTAGCACTCAGTTATAAGTCAATTTAATATTTTAAAATTGAATTTATTCATTATTTTAAAATTAAATTTCCTCTCAGTTAACCAACAGAAAAACATGAAATGATTTTTAGAACAATGGGGACAGATTGTAAGAAATTAAAACTGAAAGTTATGTACAAGAAATCTAAAACAACTTGAAGTAGTCTCTGGCCTGTATTTGGTCTGGGACATCGGACCAGCATTGGTAGGTGTGACATGAGGCTTTCCAAAATCATTCCCCTTTTTGTTTTGTTTTGAACATCTCTGTGTATGGAAATGCATCATACTCCCTGATTTCTGATGTGACCTGGCAACGGGCTGCAATTCCAACAGCTTGCAGTGCTACTAATGATGCCATGGCAGAGATTAGAGTAACTTGTGCTGTCAGAGAATATGTTAAATCTCAGACCTGAAGAAACAGTTCTAATTCCCTGTAACACTGTCCAAAACTGAAGTGGAGCTTAAAATAGTTCATGGTTTCAGAGGAAAGCTGGTCAATAGATTTAATTAAGGCAATATGTTTAATCCATTTTTAAAAATTTTATTTCCTCTGTGCTGCCAAGCCTTTTCTTGGCCAGGATGTAACATACCACATCAGAAGGTTTTACTCATGGGATTTCTGCACTGCACTAAAGAAACAACAAAAATCTCATGAGACCTGGAAGGAATCTGAGTGAAAACCTGAAGAAAAAGTGAGAGGAAGTACTGAAGATCCATTTCATCACTGCTGTCATCTCACCGCATTGTTTGCTGCATTCATTCTGCTCTTCCGTGAGAACCTCAAGAAATCCCAGTGGGACAGCTGAGAAAAGGCATCAGGTGTTAGAACTGCTGATAGTTTGGCTCATGCACTTTGTGTTTTTCCATGTCCAAAAATCTGACCCAAAGAAATTTTGGCAAGAAATATTCACACTGAAATAGTTCTTTTTACTCGTTTAACTCTCTGCTGATCTGACAGTTTTCAGTGAGGTGAGGTTATTCACTTGTCACCAGAGTGAGCCAGAGCTCCCTGATGCCCCTGGAACCTTTCCATGGGCTCTGGTGGGCTCTGGATCAAGCCTGCCATAATGGGAACTGGCAGCTCCTGCTGATTTCACAGAGTTGTGAGTTTCTGAGGCCAGACCAGCTGCCTTGAAAGGAGTCCTGTGAGTTAGGAAACGTGCTATTGTTATTAGCTGTACTTGAAAAGTAGAGTGTAGTCAGTTCCATGTTCTTGTGTACTTTTAAGGCAAAATAACTGCAACTGGCAGGCAGTCTGGCTTTTCAGAAAAGTAAGAAATAGGAGCTTATGTACAGTTTTCTTATCTAAATGTTTGTTCTTCTACTTTGAACATTCTGATATATGCTAAAACATAAAGAGTGCTTCATCAACTAATCGTTCTGCTATTAAAGTTATTAGTTAAGCATTTATTTCAAATGGCAAAAAAATCCCTGGGAGGAACAGTTCAGTGGCTGTATTTTGGTTTTGGTTTCTCATTTAAAGATAGTGGAAATACCTCCATGCTTTGCTTACTGAAACATTAACAAAAGAAGACATTCATAGTTAGCCTGTTTATTTCGACTGAGTGAGATTACTTTAATTTCTCAAAATATCTAAACAGAAGTTTTCAAGTGGTTTAGGAAATTTAAACATAGAACTTTGGGACTTGAGTATAAGGGTTGGTTGTTAATTTTACAAGTACCTTATTTTTATCAGCAGCCAGATCACAGGGCTTCCTTCACATCTTGTAAATAATTAACGCAAGCACCCTGGAAGGGATATGATTACACTGACTGCACAAGAGGAGGAGCTCGAAGTCTTCTTAAATTTCAGCTTTATATGAGCCAAAATGTAAACGAAATTCATTTCCATTTTCATTTATTTTTACATAAGAAATTAAAATGAACCTGGAAATGCTAAGCTGTTTGTGCTTTAGCAAACCATCTACTTTCTGTCCCCTTGGAGACCATCTTGCTTGTGGAAAGGGGTTTTGATAACCACTTCCTAGGGTTCCTGTCCAGTTTGAGTGAAAGTCTGCAAGAATCTGAGTATCCCTTTGTTGCTGCTTATAGCTCTTGTTGACTTTGGTGAGATGTAGGAAATTCAGAGTATAAGGAATGAGGTTTCATCCTTTCATCTTGACTTCACTGGAATTTATTTTTTCAGTTTTTTTAAATACTTATGCACAATCTGCATATTTTTAGAAGCTGCTGTGCAGAAGGTAAAATCTAGGACAATTTGTCTAACAAGAATTAGGAATGGAAATAAGGGCTGGGGTTAAGTGCTAGTGAGCTCGGCAGGAATGCTGTTTGCAGTCACTGGAAAAAGGGTTCAAAGCAGTTGAACTTGAGCTGTCAATGAGACATCTGCAAGGAGGTGTCAGATGAGGAGACTGATGCTTTGGATAAAAGACCAAACAGGGCTGGTGAAAAATAATTTGCTGGGGAAGAAGTAAAGGATACAGAATTTCTGTGAAATTCCCATGAAGAGCTGCAGAGCATTGCTTGGTGGACATGCGGCAGAAAACTGGAGAGTTTGGAAGAGGAGAGAAAGAAGAGAAAGAGCAACTTGTTCATATTCATCATTTGCTGCTTCAGTCAACATGCATATTTAGCATATAAATGGCTTTCTCAGAAATGCTTGTTACTGCCTCAAAGTGATGCTAAAAATATTTTCAATATATGATTTGGTGGGAATAGGGAAAATGATCACAAGAGCATTCAATTTCACTTCTTATTAATCTCTGTAAAACCGATTGAACAACGAATATACTTGTAATTGAAAAGCAGTTTTGTTCTACAGGGAATTCTATGGATGGGCTAAAAAGCCATGGCAGAAATGAACTACCACATCTATCCTTACACTTTACACTAGGTGATAATCTGCCCTTAGAAACCTACGAGAAGTGGTCGTGAAATTTGAAAAATGACACAAAAACAATTATCACCAAACTTAATCATTTTTAACTCACCCCCTTGCTACCCAAATTAGAAGATTTATTTTAAAATGTATTATGATGGTTTAGTTTTAACTGAGCGGTAGTACTATAATGAATTCTTTTTATATGTTAGTTTAAGAGAGCTTCCTTTTTCTTGCTGCTAAATACCAGCTTTGTAGCTGATGTCTAACTTTGGACAGAAAGAGGGGACGTGTCTTTCACCTTCACAGTCTCTCTCTCCTTTTCTTTTTTCTTTAGACCTAAGGTCTCTGCAAAACAAGACAGTCTTTGCCACTTCTCCTTAAAATGATGAAGATTTCTTTCTTTCTTCACCTGTGACTCCTGAGCAAACTTCCCTTTGTTGCACCTTTTCAGTGTTAAGTGTTTCAAGAATTCCTAGGTTTCTGGTGGGAATTCTTTTCATCCCTGACATCAAAACATGTAGGGTTTCTGAAGAGCAGAGTTCAGGCTTAACATATTTTTCTCATTGCTTGTTTAAAATAATCTCATGCTTAAGCTGCAAGCAGACTTTGGTAAGAAACAAGAATTATACATTGTGAAGTCTAGTGAGAAAGGTGTTTTCTGAAGCCTGTGCATATGAAAGGACAAAACCGAAGAGCACACAGACACAGACAGACTCCTGTTCACTGAAGTTCTTGTCTAATTTGTCACCTGGTGGTACGTTAGCAGAGTATTTAATTGTAGAGTAAGGATCCTGAACAGTTTAGCTGTGAATCAGTGTGTCAATCTGGCCTTATCTGAAAGAAGAAAGCTGTTTCTGAAGATAGAAAAAAACCGCAAGCTGCCACAAGTGCCCATGTTGGGGAGAGGGAAATCCATTGACAAACGTCAAACTATACCAGTCCAAAACTGAAAACCTCTCTCTTTCACCAAATAAAAGCAGCAGGTAAAGCTCCTATTTTCTGCTGTGCTTGCACGGTAAATTCTTAGGGCGCTCTGTACCTCTGACACAGTCAGTTCTCAATTTCCTGATCAAGTTTTGTTTCTTCTTCTTCAGGTCAATATTGGTATTCTCATTGCTGTTACAAGAGTTATCTCAAGAATCAGTGCAGATAACTATAAGGTCCATGGGGATGCCAATGCCTTCAAGTAAGTTTCTCATATTTGAATTCTGCTATAACAAGTTAGTAATCTCCCATGTCACAGCCTAGAGACATGTATAATGGTCTTTTCCTAGAACACTGATATCATTCCTTTTTAATAAAAAGCAAATAATGATAAAGGCAGCATATTATTTGCTTGAATGCAGCCAATTAACCTATATTTTATGAAAGCCAAATGCAGCATGGGATGAAGCCTTTAGTTTGGCATGAGCTAAGCTGTTTTCCTGCTTATTACAGTCTCCAGCATTTGCTGATTCATTATTTTCCTTTTTTGTTAATGGAGACTTTCCTCTTACAGCTATTTTTAAAGATTAATCTCTCAGAGTATGATTAATCTGTACTTGGGTATTGCAACTATTCCATTCTTTCAAAGGATAAACTTGTTTCTATCCCCAGTTTAGCAAAATATTGAGGCATATGCTTATTTTTAATACTCTCTTGATACTGCAAAGCAGACTTACACTGGATTTAAATGTGTTCTTAAACTCAACTGTGTTTTTATATCAAGGTGCTTTGAGCCCCCAGGGATTGTGACTTCTCTGAGTGTATCATCTTTTAAATACTGTGCTATTGAGGCTAGAGGGGAAATTTAAGGTAGATACATTGCTGCATCTGAGTATGTAAGGATAAATTCTGATGTCTAAAGTCTGTAGCATTATATGTGGTTAAGTAAGAGGACAACTTAATATATTGAATTTAAAGTAAGATGCTGAATGTTACATTTTGTGTTTTATCTCCTAAAGACATTTTAGTCCAAACACAAAATACACTGTATATATCTCAAGCAGTTTATAGCTTGGGCAGAGGAAGAATGTGTTGATGGTTTGTTCTTAATGTTTCTGAGTCACAGGCTATTGTGTGATAAGGTGTGGTGCCACTGATCTGAATTGGTGTCATAAGGAATCATTTATATGCTTGAGTTACTTATGTAATTTTTAAAAGGCCATTCAGTTTACAATATTGGTGACAGATACCTGATAGAAGTTAGTTTACTTATTGTAACTTACCCACAGGAGAAGAAAAACAGTAAATAAGTCTACACAAAAATCTATACAATAATTACACTGTAGTAAAATGAAAAAACTGGGAATTAAAATAACTGTTTCAGATTTGGATGAGTCCCTGTGACCTTCAGAAATACAAAGGAAATACAGAACTCTGGGAAGCAAATAACTTTGTATTGTCAGTGACAATTTGTATCCATTGTCAGAATTATGAAAACAAGAGAACATCCACAAATAGGAGCTACACAGATAGCTCTATGAACTTAGGTGTTTCCTTACTTATATTTTAATGCAGACTCAATTTAATACACACTGTACCCTGCACACCACTCTCTCTCTTTTTCTCCCTCTCTCTCTAAATATATATATATTTATACAAAGCTAAGTATGGATAAATAAGAAAAATGTTTATGGACAGTTGTTCTAGAAGTAAGACGAAATGCATTTACACTTGGCTAGCTTAAATATTAACAGCTACAGATTGTGAATGAGCTCTGTACTGAAAATGTGAAGGTCTGTGCACCTTAAGATGATGCTCTTTGTGTCAAGTATTTTTAAAGTACAGTTTTAGGCTTTGACCTAATAACTAACGAGAAGGTGTATGTGACAACTATCACGAATAAGCTTTTCTTCATAAAAATAAATTGAAAAAATAAGATATATCGAAAGGTAGATGGAACATACAGAATAGCTCTTATTCTGTAGATACCATTACAGAAATGGCTCCTCAGAAACTTGAAAGGAGAACAGCATAAATAGCTGTGCAGATCAAATGTTAGAGATTTTAACAACCTGATCCGTCATAGCAGTCAGGCAGGCTGAATTAGAATTTCTTGTACAGCGGATGCCATGGAAAAAGTAACTGGTGTATCTGCTGGAAAAAAAGAAAAGAAAAAGAAGGTCTTTGTAGCACTAGATTTATTTTCTTGTCATCAGTACTCCTTATACAGGTGAGAAGAGTTTGTGTCTGGTGTGAAATCATCCTGTCCACAGTACTGTTTTCCAAAAAGGAAGAGAACAAAACAAGAGTGGACTCTGTTCTGACAGCTGGTTGGGAAATGTTTTTTGCAGTGAAATGAAAATGCCTGCAACCACTGAAGAATCATAGATGTTGATTAGAGACTGTTAACAAATGAGAGTGGATAAGCACAGCAAAATGAATCAGTGACACACAGAGATAACAGAAAAACGCAATAACCCTGCAGTTGCTGTCAGCAAGAACCACAAGGTGGTTTTTGAATCAACAAGTGCAATTGGCTTAGGGAGAAATCAGTGAAGATCACAAACTGCATTGTGCATCACAAGCCTTAAACAAAGGGCCTGTCAGGCACCCATCTGGGTAAGGCCATTCATTTGACATTAGCTATGGGGGAAAATGGAATATGTTAGAAAGAATTTATCAAGCTTTTCTTGGAAACATCTGAATTAACATGGCATAACATGATTTTGGTGAGACAGGAATGTAATTTGTCATGCTGTGTTAGGTCTTTGCTGTAGCAAAGTGTTTCATAGGGAGGAAGGGGGTTTTTGGGGCTGCATTCACTGTTTTGTAAAGCAAAAGACAAAATAAAGAAAATGAGATCTGCTCAATCCAATAAACTTGAAAGGGAAAGAGAGATTTCAATGCATTCTTTTCAAGCTGGAATGAAATTTAAATGGAAAGCACAATAAGAAACATTAAGTTTCTGTCTGCAACAATTTAGATGATACAGTGGGGGCTTTGAAGGTTACAAGTGGTAATGAACCAAAAATGCATTGCAAAACTGGTTAAAGGGCATCTAAAGTGCTGTGATAGGAGTGTTAAGAGAGGTGTTGGCTGTTTCTCCTTGGTAACTCAGGCCAATATTTACATCTGCTGTAAGCACCTAACAGACCTCACCCTTACAGCTGGTGCTGAGTTCAAACAAACAGCAGTTGCAGGCATTCAGGTTTGAAAACCTCAGCCTGCATGTTTACAGAGCTGGCCCATCATCGGGCTTGTCTCTCACCAGGCTTTCTGGCCAAAGGAAGAGTTCTATCTCATTGAAGAGCTCTGGCTTCCATTTTGGCTGGCAGCCCGAGTGGAAGAGCACCTCAAAGCAGAAACCTCTACCCACCTGCACTCCCCGATCACTGCAGAAATGTGTGTTTCTGCCCTGCAGTCCTCGTCTGCTTGACACACTTGCCGTAAAGGTTCTGCTTTCTCCTCAGTGAATCTGAAGGAAGCCCAGGTTGCCTGGCTCCAACACAAATACCCCCTGAGCACCAACAAGTCCAGTGTCATAACTCAAACTTCGAGGTCATCAGGCCATGACTGAGCAGAGATTACTTTAGGAAATTGTCAGAAAAAAGATGAAGTTATGAGCCACGATGATATCAATTAGAGAAGACATTTATTGTAAGAGAAGTGTTAGTGCTGGAGTGTATTTAGTTTCCCTAAAGATTAAGTTGCTTGGCAATGCAATTGGATATTATGAACAAGGACTTGTTTCTCTTGGCAACAGACATCAATAAACTGATGTAATTATTTAGAGTAATTGTTCCTGATTTTCTGTGTAGCAACAGGTCCTCTTAAATGCTGACTCAAATATGACCACAGAATTTGCATCAGGATGAGCCACTGCTCAGCTCTGAAGGCAGATTCCATCAAACTTCATGTTTAAAAGCCAAAGCAGACAAGGAAAGTGTTAACAAAATTTCTTTTATATCATAAAATTAATTAATTCATAATCCTCCCAATTTGCATTCCGCCCAGAATGAAGTGCTGTACATTATGGGCTGATTGACCTTTTCAGGTTCTGATGTTGCTTGTCATAATGAAGATATCAGACAGAATTTTGCTGATTATTTTCCCCTATTTTTGGAGATACAGGCAGATATGGACGTGTTTCTATGTTGTTATTTTTTAAAAGAAAATAATAATAACTCTAACATAAAAATATAAATTGAAAAATTATAAAGGATTAAAGTCTATGATACATAATTAAAAAAAAAACACACACAATAATCTAAGGAAAAATTAATTCAATTAATTAAACAGCGTATGGTCAGGGACACTAGTTAATGCATGACAGACTCCCGTGACAGTCTGGCAGGAGATATTTGGTCACTGTGTAATTAGAATGTGTGTATGTGTGAGTGGTCGCTTATTTATCACCTCACTAATACTGCAAAAAAGTTTGGTGGTGAGAGGTGAGCAAGGAATTATTAAGAGCTCCTATTTCTTATTTGAATTCACTGAAGATCATGCTTTTTGTATTCCTTCTGAAGCGTGCTGAACACAAACTTGTCTGAGCTTTTTCACTTAGATGCGATGGATTGTTTTCGAGCTTTTTGCCAGCTGATGAGCTATTGACTCTCAGTAAAATAATGTTGTGTTTGGATGTTGCATTATGAGAATGTTTTGCAGCCAGGGGACAGATTTCCCACAAAAAGGTTAATTTGAATGTTTTACTATATAGAATACTGAATCAAGTACTTTGAAAAATTTAACTGCATATTCACATTTGTTTGCATTATCCATTCTTCTTGACTGGACTTTCATTTAGGGAAATCATTAATTATATGTTTGTGTTTAAGCATATAAGTAGTCTCTCTCTGAGCTAAATGCAAGTAAATCAGATTAGTTTAATGGAATTGCTCACGTGCTTGAAGAAGCAAATTATTACTTTTTTTGATTTATGGTCCATTTGAATGCTTAGTTTTTTTTAACTTATTCCTGCTCCATATAAAATCTTAATTCCTCTCTTAGTGCATACATTTATTCTGGCTAGGAATAAAACAGGTTTGTTTTTTTTTTTTTAATGGCTGCTCTGACCCTTCCAAGCCTCGGTGCTGTGTTTACTTGGGAATTTACTTCTCTGTTACAGTGAGAAAAGTTGTCTAACGTGACAGTGCTTTAAAAATGTGCACATTTGTAATAAAATGTAATATACTTCAAGAGAAGAACTCTTCCTTGATTAAGTCTGTCACAGGTAGAACGTTTGATTATTGGAGTTACCTG